GATGGCGTAGTGTTGATCACGTGGACGGAGGAACTAGGAGAAGTAGTTTGCCACGAGATCTGGAGATCCCTTAGCAACCTTGCAACATTGAATGTGTTTGGAAATCAGCAATGCTTATTTTTAGTCAAGTACAAGGATGCATGATTGTCAAAGTTATCCAACTCAGTTAAAAATATTAATAGGATCAGTTTGAAAGGAGATATCTATCAGACTTTAATTCCACAGTGCTAGTCACACTACCACCGACTTTCTGTGGTCAAATATCCTATCCAAGACTTAAGGTTACTTCCCACCTTAGTGGGTGTTCTTGGGAAAAAATTCATACGCACTCTACTCTCATGAAATCCTTGCAAACTATACATCAGAAGAAAGCTTAATAAATGCAAACTACGATTAAAGTATAATTTGAACGAGTTTTCCTTTAAGGAAATGTCAAGAGTCGGTAAGAAGTGAATCGATCAAGGATTCTTCTATTGAATTTATAAGGTATCGGTTGTCGCAGCGCAGGCAAAAAGTGTACGCAGTCACAAGACATCAATCAGAAAAAGTATGTCAGGCTTTTTCGATATTCTGATTAGTTGTCTAGATATTTCCATCTAAAGTTGAAGTAGTTAAAACTATACGAGGCGTGTTGCGTAAATGAACGTAAACAAAAACTTCCATTTTCCTCGTATTAACTTTGGCTAAATCCATTCCTGAAAAAACGGCGCCAAAAAAGCGGTCGTGTCTCTTCCACATCGTTTTCTTGAACGTCGAAACAACCTTTCGCCAGGATTTTTCCTGTGGTAACTTGCTATGTTTGCCCCCTAACGACCTCACAGACGTTTGCGAAAACACGAGGATCTGCGAAATGTAAAAGGGAGGATTCTAGTTGTCTTTCCTATCACCATATACCTGGATGTTTGCAAATACACGAGAGTTGGTGTCGCAAAATCCTGCTCTCATGTACACACTTTCTGACAATGTAGCTGAGTCTGACACTCCGACAATTTTGAAATGCATGCCGACGTCCTTACTACACAGTTTCTCTTATCAATTGCTCTGCCAACTGTGAATTTAACATTTTCGGACTTGAAGGAGTTCGGGGAGGCATAGTCTTTGGCCCACTTGAGTCATTAAGAAAAGTAGAAGCCTCTGCGCACAAAGGAGGTTTCCTTCCGCAGAGGCGGATCCAGGAATTTTTGATTGGTGGGGTCCAAACTTTTGTTCAGAAAAGAATTTTGGACTCTTTTGAGGCAAATTACTTCATCCCCACACCCCTTCCCACCAGTCACCGTTGCACATTATAATTCCTTGGCCGCTTACCGTTTACTTGGATTCATTAAAAAAATCAGCCAGTTAAAAAGTGATATACGATTCTGTGTCAAAGTTGTAGACGTCAGGTCTAATAGGGTGGGTTCGGATCCCCTGGACCCTCCCCCTGGATCCGCCACTGTTTCGGGTTTTGATGTTAACATTAGTGGCAAGTTCCTCCGTGTGTGCTTTTTAGACTTTAGTAAAGCATTTGATCATATTGACCACACCATCTTGGTGACCAAGCAAATCCATCTAAGTGTTAGAGGATGGTTGATCAGCTTGATTTGCAGCTTCCTCAGTGGCCGCCGCCAGGTTGTTAAGCTCTTAGACTACATCTCTGGGTAGATGCGCGTACATGCCGGTGTCCCGCAGGGCACCAAATTGGGTCCAATTCTTTTTCTGATAATGATTAATGACCTGGCTATTCACTCCCCCCTCCGCTCGAGCCACTGGAAGTACGTCGATGATGTAACAATA